ATTAACGTCAAACAAACCCAACACTAATCGACAATCGAGCGCCGATTGTTTAAATTAGATTATACGATCTTACAACATCATCATTTAACATAAATGTCAAMTGTGTGTCGTGTGCTACTTCAATAAACCGAAAAGCAATTACGGACTTAAAGGTTTATCTAGCAACTCGAAATTGAATTAGACATAATAAGGGATCCTACTCAAAATATCCAACTCAAAACGAYAAGCATTCAACTCTAAAATCGCATAAATAGCTTCAAATGATATTAAAATTGACGTAAGTCTCAACGAATCCAAATTCAAAGTAATCACATACCCATTACTAGAAATAGTAAATTAGCTACACATACTAAGAATTGGAAATCGAGTACTTGCAAAATGCTTGTAAAATTGGAATTTAGGAAGAACCTGTAAAACCCGTTCCAAAATCGACTCCAATGATGAAATCGAATTCTGTCGTGCTACTGCCCTTTCTCAATTTACAGCATCTTGATTTCTTCCTCTTGACTGACAGCCTCTCGACTTTTCTCCAATCAACAGCTTCTGTCCCCAAAAATAACCTGCTGTCTCCTCTCGATTTCCTCTATATCGACAGCCCCTTCCTAATCGAACAGCCTCTTTCGATTCTGCTCCTCGATAACCTGMTGTCCGATCGACAGCTTCTTCTTCTCCTTCTCGGCTGCTGCTTCCTTCTCTCGACCGACTTACAGCCTTCAATGGACAGCCCCTTTGCTGTCCTTCTCGATTTCCCTTTTCTGCTTCCTCCTCGCTTCAATCCACAGCCTCTCGTCCTTCTTAATCGATCCACGTCTCCCATCTCTACCCACGCAAGACTGCCCACGATCTCCTGCTTTGTCTCTCGCTACCCACGATCTCCTGCGTCTCTCGCTACCCACGTCTCTCTCTCGCTCGATCCACATCTTGGGCAGTAGCTTGGGCTGCTGTTTCTTTTTTTTTTTCAGCTTTGGGCAGCTGTTGGGCTGCTGTTTTGTGCCTGATTTTTGGGTTGTTTGATGCTGATGATAAAAACCAAAACACAACAATCAATTTTCTCTCTTTTTTCAACTTAAATGGTTGCATAAGATTAAATATCATCTTAAATTAAAATGGATATTTTAAACATCTAAATGACATTAATCTCAAGGTAATTTTGACGTAAAAATGTATAAATTTGCACTTATCAGTTCTTTAGTGTTAGGAAAAACTCGTTATAAGACGTAGTCATATTCTCACTACAACAAAATTGAGTTTATAAGACACCCCCAATCTCTAAGTGTCTCAATAGACCGCTTTATAGGACTTAATTTATAGGACCAAAATATAAAGTGTCCTATCTAAAGGTGTTGTAATAAGTTTATATGACACTTTTGGACGTCTTAACAAGTTTTTAGGACATTTTTAATACAAAGTGTCGCATTAGCAACTTTATAAGATATTTTTTTAGAAAGTGTCTTATAAACTCAATTTTTTATAGGACATTTGTTTTTATAGGACAATTTTTTAAATAGTGTCCTATAAAGTTGATAATGGGACGCTTTATATTAAAAGTGTTCTAAAAAACTTATTACGACATCAAAAAACGTCATATAAACTTATTACAACGCCTTTAGATAGAATGCTTTATTTTTTTTGTCCTATAAAGTAAGTTTCATAAAATAAAAAAAAGTCTATTAGGACACTTAAAAATTGTGAGTGTCCTATAAACCCGATTTTGTTGTAATGTCTTGAAAGACTTTCGCCTTAACATTTTTGTTGAATGTCACGTGGCCATTTGTTGCTAAGAGCCCATTCTTATTAATGCCGACCCTTGTAGTTTTTTCAAGTGCGTTGATGTATTAACCTAGGTCGACTAGGATATGATTAACCGATTGATGTCATGCGACAAGGAACTTAGATTCTATGGGTAGAACTGTTTCACATCCATAAAATAGAGAAAAAAAAATCTAACTTGTAGATGTATGTGGGGTCATGTGATTACCGAAGGAAGTTCTTTGACAAGCTTTTAGCCTTTTCTTTATAGAATTGCTTATAACCTTGTTGTTGGATTCAGCAAGTCCGTTCGATTGTGAATAGCAAGGAGTGGATGTGATTAATTTTATACACTGCTCTTGCAAGATCAACGTGTTTTGTCCTTTATAGATTGAAAATTATTGTCACACGCGAATTCTAATGATATTCCAAATCTACAGATGATATTAGTTTAAATGGAGGATATGACCTCTTTATCCATCACTCGAAAAAACAACGACCTTTATCTACCTCTGACAGCCTTCTCATAGTTGTTCAATATATTGCAACCCCTATACTTTTGTTCAACATATTGCATATATCACTCTAGATTCTTCAATAGCAAAACTAAATGCTTTTGCCACCAAGAATAAAACTTATATTTTGTTTCTTATTACTTATAAAGTGTTTTGGTTTAGATGGATGGTTTTCTTTGGATTTAAATTTTTGATTTTATATAAGTATTGTATTTATAATTTTTTTTGACTGAATTTGTTATTTATGTTCTTGATATTCATTCAAATGTTCTTGATGGGTTAGTTTTAGAAGACAATGATTGTACAAAATAACATTAATGATGCAATATTTAAATGTCCTCTAATTTAATTGGAGTTAAAAAAAGAATTAACGGTTGTTAGTAAGTGGGACACATGTAAAGGTTTATTGTAAAGGTGAATAAAATATTTGGAATGCAGGACGTTTATTAATGGACAATACCGAAAATTACTCTTATATTTATTCTTTGCAATTATATTTATAACGATTATAGCATAATTAATAATGATCATGAATGTAATTTTGGTAATTTTATTTATAGTATGTAAAGCGTCTCTATGTTAACTTTATTATCGTAAACAAATAATATTTATGAACAATAGTGTGAAGGCTTAAAAGCGTTAAGTGGTCTACTTTGGATGTTGACATTTTGATTCATATCTGACATGACCGAATCAAAGGAAGATGTTGATACTTAGTTAACCAATGTTTGATTATCATTATGGAAAAATAAAGAGTTATTACGAGTAATTTCCTAGAAAAAAATTGTATAAAATAGTTCACAAAAATCGAATTCATATCTTTCAACAAATGGAATTGAATACTCAACTTCGTTGTTTGACTTTTCCGATTCAAGATTAATGTCTTTTCAAAAATCAAAAGTGTTTCACAAAAACTAAAAATTGCATTTGCCTACATAGTTGAACCTTATTCAAAAAATGATATAAATGGTACTTGAATCAAAAGAGTTCCCGGTGTTTACTCGAAAACATGCCAACCAAGAGAAATCAATATTATTAGCTATATGACATGGTTTATTTGATTTTGATTGCACGAGGGTCGCTATATGGACATGAAATTATAATAAAAAAAAGTTCATATAATATGTTTTTTTTTTAATTTATATAAATGTTTTCCCCCTATTCAATTAACTAACTTCATATGATATTTTTGTTATAATTTTCTTTTCGTAAATTAGGTTGCAAATCAACATCAGAGCATTACTTTTAAAAGTATATTTAGTGTTTTACATTTTATTTCATTAATTGTCAATGAATTAACAAATTACGTTTCATCTCAACTTAATTACACATTTCTAATAATAAATTTTCATTATCGCGCAACACACGATGCCACGTACTAGTAGTATGATAATAAAACAGAACAACAACTACACCAATATCATTGTTCTATTAACAATTTACAATTTTTTTAATGGAAAAACCATTAAATCTTTTCATTTTGATTAATTAAGTCCCGAATATTTTTTTGAATAGAATAAACCATCGACCTTTTAGAAGTTTATTGCAACATTCTTTTAATCCAAAAAGTTATATATAATCGACGTGGAAGATTTTAAAGTAAAAATATAAATCAGTTTTATCGTTCCCAAAACCTACGCCATTCAAACATATCACACACAACGACATCACTCTCCCTCGCCACTTCCAATCACCCCATCGTTGTCCGTTTTCCATATTGCTCATCACCGCCGTTGGCTTTTGCCATCGATCTCTCTCTTTTTGATCTGTTTTTTTGTTTGTTTTTTGATTATCCCTCTTTTACAACAATTTAATGGAGCACGTATAGACATGCAAAAGAATGGAAAACCGAAAAACAAAAAAAAACAATAAAAAAGAAGGAGATCGAGGCAAGGGCTAACAACAGTGATGTCAGTGATAGAGAGCGGACAACGATGAGGCAACGAGAGGTTTGGATGATGTAGGTTTAGTGTAAAACTGCCTTCCTAGCTTATTCAGATAATCTTTTTGGATTAAAAGAATATAAATAACCAATTTTTAAAAATCTTTTGGTTTATTTATTAATTTTTTTAGGAATTTAAGCAAGTCCATTAATGGTTTTTCATTCAAAATAAAAGTTTAGCAATTTATTTATTTAAAATGAGAAAGACTGTTGGATTTTTCTACACTTTTCCTTATATATTTTTATTGATGAAAATGACCATAATATCTCACATTTAACTCATTTTAACCGAAAATGATAAGGAATGTTTAGGAGCCGTTTAGCAAACGCTTACCGGGGTAAGTATATACCAAGTCACATAACTTTATCGAATGACTATGATAAGGACGAAGAATTTTACCCGATAAAAGTGAAAGCAAGGACCAATAGTCTTACCCGGTAATTGAAGGTAATGGCTCTTACCCGGTTAGCGCTTACCGGGTAGATTTTTACATACAATGTCATTTTGACGGACTAAATTCTTGTTAGATCAAGTGATAGTATTGAATTTTACCGGTAAACATTTACCAGATAAGTGGTATTAAAATGGACCAAAAACAGTCAATAAAAAAACTAGTTTTAGTTGAAAATAACATGTTTCAGGAACCAAATCCCAAATTCACTCTATAATCATTAAAATAATTAGTTTGTGTTATTTTGAATCAAAATATTCATTCAATTAAAATATATATGTCAGCGTCTAAGCAACGCGTGAAAGGAATATAAGTAAGCGTCTACTTCTTGCACCTGCGATCAATTTTACAAAGAGAAAACCTGCAAAATCCAGAACTACACAATTTGGTTAGTACTCATCAAATCTCTTCTCTTGTGATTAGAATCAATAGTGTTATAATTTCCTAGTCATTTCGATTTTCATGCACATGTGAATGATATGTTTTTCCATATGCTTAGAGTTTGATGGATTTGTTTGTTGATCTAAGTTTGTGTATTGTATCTTTATGTTCGGGAATTCACTAGAAATCGGTTTATAGTATTGTAATAGACTATTTTATAGAATCAAACTCTTGTCCGTTTGTTACAATAAGTTATATGACGCTTTTGGACATCTTATCAAGTTTTTATAAGACATTTTTAAAATAAAATATTCTATTAGCATTTTTATATGATATTTTTGAGAAGTGTCACGTGAACGATCTTGTTATAACACAATCTTTTAAATAATGTCACGTAAAGAAACTAATAGAATTCATTATTTCAAAATTATCCTAAAACACTTGTGAAGACGTTCAAAAACGTCATATAAACTTATTGTATTACTTTTACGTATGACGTACTAGCGTTTGGTTCTATAAACTTAGATTTATTATGACACTATGTTGTCTTAGATCACCGATTTTATTGTAATGATTCTTTATATTCGTTCTATTAAGTCATTATTCGACTTGATGTTTAATGTTAATCAAGGTGAAAAGCGATGGGTGATGGATACCATAGACATAACCGGGGCAAAGGATTGCTTACTCATCTTGTTGGTACCGGACAATATCCTCCTCAAGGATATGCTTATCCTCCTCAAGGATATCCTTATCCTCCTCCTGGAGGATACCCACAAGTTGATTATCCTCCTCATGGCGGATATCCGCCACCGCCACATGTTTGTCCCCTGCCCAATGCTTATTCTCCGGCAACCTATCATGGTGCATCGGCTCCATGTAATCCAGGTTAGCTCATCAGGGTATCTTTTGCTTTCCATTGTCATCATTATCTTTGTTTTCGAATTTCACGACAACAAAATGTGTCCATTTGGACGCATATGCGTTCTAATAGAGTCCTTAATGTGACTTTATCTTCAAAAATTGGTGTATCTAAAGGCGTTACAGTAAGTTACTGGGACGAATTTGGACAACCTAACAAGTTTTATATATGAAGTTGTGCAACCTAATAGTATATAGAAAGTAAATTGTCTTATTACTTTTTTCATATGACACGTTTGAAAGTGTCATATATACGAAAGACATAGAGGACACTTTTCAAAAGTGACTTATAAGAAGGTTAATAGAACAATTTATTTTTTCTGTCCCATTAAGCTGTCCAACTTTCTCAACGTAAATTGTTACGTCGCCTCACTTCGTCCTAACAACTTATTGTAAACCTTTAGGTAGGACGTCGATTTTTGGCCCTATAAACTTAAATTCATATTAAGGGGTTGTTTACCTAAATGCTTACCCCTTAAGTGCTTACTATTACGAGTCAACACTATAATTTATTTTACCGAGTAAGATTGTAGTACATCAAAATGGTACCCTGCAACAATTTACTCGGGTAAGAGTCGTGACTTTCACTTACCAAGTAAGACTCTTCATCTTTGTCATTGCTTAAGATTTTTGACTCTTGTCGTGTTCATCCGGTAAGGGAAATTACTCAGTAAGCACTTACTGGATAAGCGTTCAGTAAACGACCCCTAAGTACTCTGTTAGGACATCCAAGGACAGTTATTTTGTTGTAGTGTTTCTACTTTTCGTTTATGTTATTGTCCTACATTCTACATGAAGCATGTTGTTATGAATTTCTAAATCTTGTTTAGGGCATGGAGGCCACAAACACGGACTCGGAACATTCCTTGCTGGAGGTGCAGCGGCAATGGCGGCTGCATGTGGCTCTCACCATACGCCCCATGGTTACGGGTCTCATGGTAGTTATGGGTACTACGGGAATCATTATGGTCGGTATAAGCATGGTAAGTTCAAGCACGCAAAGTTTGGCAAGCGCTGGAAGCATCGAGGGATATACGGGAAACACAAAATGTGGAAATGATTCATGTATCTGTTATGTTATATGATTATAGTTATGCTTAATCGGTTATTCTGAAACTTGTTGGCATGTACACCTTCATGTCATTTGTTGAAACTATCTTTAATTGTTGTGGATGAATCAATAAACAACCTCTTTAATGTAAATTTATTTGTTATTTATTTACGTTATATATCAGTAAGAATCTCGGCGATCAAAATAGATGATTGGTGTCTCTTATCTGGTAAACATTTACCGCGTAAGATTCTAGGTCCTTGTCATATTCACCTCGAAGTTAACTGACATGCTGTAAATGTTTACCTAAGTGCCCATTTACTAGACGCTTATCCGAGTAAGTTCTTATCGGAAAAATTCAACATTATCACTTACTTACAATGTAAGAGTTTAGTCCACCAAAACAGTATCATATGCAACAATTTACCCGATAAATGCTAACATGATAAGAATCTTCACACTAACTTATCAGTCAGTAGCATTAAATTGCTCTAAATAGCGGTAAATTGCACTGCTATTTCCGGTACCGCTTTTATAGATCGCTAATCGTCCACCACCATTTTCTCAATCACCGCTAACCTTTATAATTGACTGTCGAAACCTAACTAATACATCATGATAAAAGAAAGCATTGAGGCAAAAATATATAATCTTACGTGTCACCGACAACATAAGATTCCTATAAAATATACAGCGTGTCTTTTACATGTTAAATGTGAAATTTTGAACAGACTTCCGAAATTTTGGAGCCCAAATTTACATGTTTTTAGGGTCTTTTTATCGACATGTATAAAACTATATACGAAATTGTTTAGGTTTAAATTATTAAATGTTTGATTTTAGGTTCAAATTATTAATGTTTTAAGTTTAGTTTCATATTGTTGATCGCTTAGGTTTAGCCTATATTTTGTTCTTAACATTTTTGTTATCTCATTTGTATAATGTAATCAAAAGTTTTGGATGTAACAGGGTCTTCAAAAAGATTGGAACGTCACTCAAAGTATACATTTAATACTTCACAAAGTCGGTGATTACTTAAGGGTTGTTTACTTGCGGCTTAATTAGGCTTATTGGTCTATCTGGCTTATTCGCACTGCTTATTTGGGTTGTTTACTTACGGCTTATTCGCACATAACATGGCTCCTCATTCAGCCACAAAAATGACACCCCTACCCCTTATTTAAAGCATCGCTTCCTTCCCAAATGAGACACCCCATCGTCAACCTCTTTATGATTTTTTGTTTTGATGTTCAAATAATTAATATTGGGGGGTAAATCAATTATTTATGTTATTCAGACTGTTGGTTCAGATAAAAAAAAAATAAACAACAACACTCATTTATCCAGAAAGACAAATTTATCCATACATGACTTAATAAAAATTTGTTAAACAACCCCTTAGATCTGAATGTCTGTGGTTTTGCATTATGGTGACGGTTAGATAACCTGGAAGGGGTGAATAGGTTGTTATCGCTAATTCTCTACGCATACGACGGTTTTTACATTTCAGAAATGTTAAATAAAATCCAACTCGCTAAACTTAAAACCATTTCAAACAAACTTGCAGAAATTACAAGGTTTGAGAAATGACACAAGATATTTAGAGTGGTTAATCCTCGTATCAAGCGCAATTTATGGGTGCATTTGAGATTAAAAGGCACCAGATCCCTTCTTATACTTCTCACCTTAACTATTCAAACGTCGTGAATGATACTTTTTTTGAAATTTGACTCGGCAATAATTTAGACTACATTAACTTCTTACTTGTTTTATACCAACAAACTACAACATAATCAAGTTTATATGGCACTAACAATGCTTAAGTGTCTTATTAGACCGGTATATATATGTGTTTCTGTGTTTTAGGTTTATAGAATCAAACAACAAAACGTCCTATCTAAAATGTTGTAATAAGTTTATATGAAACTTATGTGTCTTAACAAGTTTATTAGTTAAAATAAAACGTCGTATTAGTTATTTTATAAGATACTTTTAAAAAATATTCTATAAAGTCACACTTTTACAAGACTCTTGTTTTTATTAGACACTTTTTCAAATAGTGTTCTATAAAATAAGTAATATGATATTTTATTCTAAAAATGTCCTAAAATGCTTGTTAAGATACTCAAAAACATTCTATAAATTTATTGCAACACTTTTAGTTACAATGATTTATCGTTTATTCATATAAACTTAAATCGTATAAAATAGTCTATTCGAACACTTAGGTGGTGTTTATTTTTTAAAAAAAGCTCTTATTTTACCACTTATGTCTGATTCGGTCAGACATAAGGCAATTCAGACCGTTTGTTTTTCTTTTTATTTCAGAACCACTTATCACTTATTTTCCTCTTAAAAGTTAAGTGATAACCTAGCCACTTATTTTCCTCTTAAAAATTAAATGATGACCTAACCACTTATTTTCCTCTTAATCCTGAAGACTATCCAGAGAACCGATTTTTACTTCATCATTCGATCGACTTCACCCTCTCAATCGATCGACTTCGCCCTCCTTACCGTCTCAATCGATCGACTTCACCCTCCATCGCCTCTGGTGGCTTCAAATCGACCCAAATCAGAACCAATTAGAACCAAATCAAGAGGGTTTTCTTTTGTGGGTTTTTGTCACTGTGTGTTTTCGTTCCTGTACAAACTAGTAGTTGTGCACCTTTATCCTCGTGAATCAAGGTATTTTCGTCCCTGTAGTTTTCATCATGATGGAGATTTGCTTCGATCTTATTGGTGGGTTTGGGCATTGGATTTTAGAGGAGTGATGGTGGACGGTGGTTGATGGTGGTGGGATGAGGGTGGAGATTGAGGATGGAAGACTTGATCTGGAGGAGAAGGAAGAATTAAAGGAATCTTGGGAACATAAACAGAAGTGAAATCAGAAATTATACATATTCATATGTTTTGTTGGTTACAAAAGCAAACTATTAATTCAAACTTCAGACGTTTGTCAGTTTACAAAAACAAACAGTCTGACTGATTCAGATTTCAAATTTCAGCACTACCTCTTAAAAATTAGAAGTGAAATCAGACTTCAGACTTCAGCACCTCTTAAAAAACAAACGTCACCTTAAACATTTTTGACCCCTATAACTCATTCACTACCAAATAAGGCAACATTTCCGGTGGCAATATCCGTCGGAAATCCTTATTACCGGCGGATTTCCGATGTAAAAGGCCGTCGGTGATTAATTTACCGACGAGTTTACCGGCGGATATTTATTTTATCGGCGGATTCCGGCCGCCGGAAACTCTTCGCCGATTTAGTTAAGAAATCTTGATTAAATTAAGATAAAATTTAAGGTTTTTTTAAATTGAATTAAATAACCGACGGATATTTCCGCCGGAAATCCGTCGGTAATAATTTTCGCCGGAAAAACGAATTTAATAAAATTAATTTTTTTAAAACATTTATTTTATTTTTTAAATATTACCAGCGGATATATCAGCCGGAAATCCGCCAGAAATATTAAAACATTTATTTACTTTTTAAATATTACCGGCGGATAAATCTGCCAGAACTTTAAATAAAATGTTAGTTTTAGAATATATTGTTACAATAAATATTTAAAACATGTAAATTTGTAAAATATTGAAAAAATTAAAAGGATGAAATGCAACTAAATATCATACACTAAACTAAACAATTGTTACAAACAAACGATATTCAATTTAAAGTAGCACACAGTTGTTACAAAGAAACGAAATTGTTCCAAATAAACAAACGATATTCAATTCGGTGGTAGGGGAAATTTTGTGATTGACTGAGTTGGCTAACTAAAGCAGCCATATCTTGAATTTGTTTTTTCTGTCGCTCCTCCACCATCCGTTGGCGCTGATTTTCTTCTTGTAAATCCAGAAGTTGGGTCCTTAAGGCTTCAATTTGCTATAAAATAAATAAAATGTTATAATATTTAATATGAATTATAAACTAAGTCGATAAACATCATCAAAGGAAAAAAGAGACATACTCGACTCTCTGAAGACGATGGACCAACTTGTGTGTAGTTCTCAATCAAAACCCAATTGGGATCTTGGTTGTATCCAAACCCAAATAGACGACCTTTTTTGCTTCCCCCAACCGCATGCTTCCACAACTCTTTATCAACTAAGGGATAGGTGGAGGATCATCGTCGTATCTTTGATTGAGACCCGTTGAATGGTCATCCTATATATGGTTTAAAAAAGATTGCAAGTCAATTTTGACAACATGATGGCTGTAAATGGGACGTTTCCAGACAAAACAATAGTGATACATACGAAAATTGTACCCAAAACAATCCTAATGTTTGCCCAACAAATGGCAATCCAAACTAAATATTGATATATACGTAACTTCTAACTTAAATAATCATAATGTTTGCCCAACAAATGGCAAATCAAATTAGATTTTAATTTAAATGACTCGAACGTGCCCAACCTAGATAGATAGTTACGTATCCAATTATAAACATTAAAATAGATAGATATACTTACCATGACTTGGCTACATTTAGAGGTCACGTACCCCCCAGAATCCGTAGATGCGACATTTCCACCTGACCTCTTCTTATGCGTATAATCGAACAATTCCACAACGGTCGGTAGCACATCATTTTTTGGTCGGGTCTAGGAAGGTCAAATAATACGAACATGTGTTAATTATTACATATTAAAAATCAAGCTACTAAATTAATGGGTTTTAGATTCTACCAGACGAGCACCATGCTCGGAAAATGGTATCGATCCACCGGTGTGTAGCGCAACTTGGCTATCACGGTTCTCACGCGTCACACCGGAAACAGCTTTCCAATTGTCATTGTTCCAACGATCGACCATCTTGATTCACACATCCGAAGATATCCAGCTGGGGGGGGAAGTTCTTCAACACACTTATATCCTGGTGGGGGTCGATTTCATCGTATTGAGGATACCCATTCATCTTTGCTTTTTCCCCAGCTTTCTTCCTTGCATCACTCAAGTTGTCATTATATGGCTTGGCTGACTTTCTCTCCTATGTCTCTAGAATCTGGGTGTCCAAAGCCGAATCCCAAGTGTAATATCCCTGTACGTAAAAGTTTAGTCAATTCTTAGGTTCAAAACAATAGAAAAAATATAACAAGTTGAATATATAATACAAACCTAGAACCGCTCCCACA